GCTGTGGGGAGAGGGGATGGGCGTCGCAGGGGGTTAGGCCCACATTTGAGTTCCCTACCCACCACCCACCTCTCTCACAATCACACATGCATACCTGCAACCTCATATGCACAGACCTGTTCACACACATGCACAGACATGTACTCACACCTGCATTCACACATGCACAGAAACACACCTCCTCACACAGGTCACAAGTGAACATGCATGCGTGCATCCTCACACCATGACATGTGCACACTCTCATCCATCTCTCATGCACACACACACAGAGGCATACATATATGCACAAAGACACCTCTCCGCACATAGTCACACGTGTGTATGTCTGACCACAGAGATGTGCACACATGTAGGCTCACACCCTCACACATGGACATGCATACACATATAACCTTCGTGCACACACAGACACTTGTGTGAGAATATGAATGCATACTCACATTCATAAACCCACAAGTCCATTCTTGGCTTGGTGTTCTGCTTTTATACACAGGGCCTCTCCTGCACATGCTCAACAATGGGGGTTGTACTGAAACACCTGCTTCCATGAGGGACCTAGGCTCCTAGCTGCCACTGCCCACCTAACACACAGGATGCCTCATGGTCATGCCAATATGTGTGGCCAAACACACTGCTCACCCATGCTGTTGTACACACATGCACAGGCCTCTCCCCCTTCAAGCCACTGGCCCTGTTCTCACACTCAAGCAACAATCCGTACTCCTTCTCGACCACCTCCCAGCAGAGCACGCAGAGGCATGGAGGCTATTAGCCAGTGACACCTTGAACCCCTCCCTGCCCCAGGAGGGGCCCAGAAGGGAGGAGAGGGGCAATAAAAGGATGGGTCAGAGTTGGGGGGGTGAAGAGGCACGGGCTGGTTGACTTACACCATGAGCAATGGGAAGGCTCAGTGTGGAGGGTGGCAGAAAAACAAGCAGAGAAAGAATGAACAAGAGACACTGAAAAAGAGAAACTGACAGGAAGAGACTGGCAGAGAGAGAGAGACAGGCACAGAGAAAGCCAGATAAGGAAAGGGAGACAGAGACACGGGTAGATAAGGAAGCAAGGCAGGGAGCAGAGAAAGAAGAACGAGCAGGCATGCAGGGGCAGGGGATTGCTGGCGCCCTGGGCACTGCCCAGCTCCTGGATCTGGCAGGCCAGAGAGTTCTGGAGAACTCAGCTACCCTGCAGGGGCACATCGGTGTACACACTCCCCCCCCACACACACACACAGGGGCTCCTGACTCACTGCCTCTCTCAGAACTCTCCCCACTCTACCCTCTTACTTTCCCTGACTTGTGGGAACCAGGACCAGCCTGAGTGACCCTCTCTTCCTCTCCCCTTTTCAACCCTGGCCACGGAAGGACAGCAGGGCAGTCCCCTGGGGCCTAGGAAATAACCTCCAGTGACTCTGAGGGAGAGTGGGTTCCTGCCCAGAAGGCTTACAGCTGTGTGAACGCAGGAGGGGGAGCACGCAGGGGCTTGGCATGTGCAAGCTGTCAGACATCATGCTCAAAGCTGCCTCATTCATTTGGGTTCACAATCAATCTGTCTATTCGAGTCCATTATCTCCTCTTTAGTCCTGCCAGTGAGGGAGGAGGAGGGGACCACGTAAGCAGAGGCAGGGGGTCAGGCTGCTGCCCCACCCAGAGAGACATCTCAGCTCACCACCCTGCATTCCTCCTATACCAATCCCCAGCCTGTCCACAATCCCCCATCCCCAAGCTGAAACCACTAGGGGCTGGGAAGAAAATTGAGAAATTAGAGCATCTGATAGGAAATATTCAGAAGCCTGGTCCCTAGTTTGAAGGCCCAGGGTGATGAGTAGAATGAACTGGGGGTGGCAGCCTGGACTTTATGCCTCCTCCCATTATGCAGAGACCTAGGACCGGATCAAGACAAGGCATCTCTTCTCATCCTGGTCTCCTCAGGGCCATTAGAGAGATTGCGTACCTTCCCGTTAATTACCATGAGATACCCGAGTAACTCAGTGCCAATTATTGCATGCTGCTCAAGTAACTTCCAGGCAGTGATACCCCTGCCTCAGATACCTTCCAGCTTGTCCATCACTGCATGAGACCAGGGTTTCTTGCCCACCCTCTAAGCCCCAGGCCAAGGAGAAGGATTTTCTATCAGGTCCTCATCTCTTCTAGAAAGAAGTCTTGCTGGCCCCAGTAAGCCACATAGAATACTCGAGTATTTTCCAGCCATCATCACGTGATGCTTGAGTATCTGTAAGCCAATTATTACAGAATACCCCCATAGGTTTCACCAGCTGCTGAAAAGTACTCAAGCATTTTATAACCAATTACTTCAGAATGTCAGAGTACTGCAGAATGCTGGAGATTCCCCCCAGTTTTGGACCTTGAAGGGAGGAGAATCTCTCAGCAAGGGTCCTGATTTCCTGTCCCAAGTAGGAAGACAAGGGTGGAAAGGGAGAAGGGTGTGGGGAGACAGAAACCAGAAAGCGGGGCGAATGGGGTGGAGGGGTGTTGCTTTCCTACATCCATGTCAAGGAGTCCTGCGGACAAGAGGCGGTGGAAATGGGGAGAAGAAAGCGCAACCATCAAGCTATGACTCCGCTCCGCCTCCCTCTTTTGCGGCTCAATTCCCAATTCCAGGGGCAAGAGATGGGGTTGCCTGGTCACGACAAGGAAGACGGTAAGTGGCTGTTTTACCCCGTGGAAAGAGGATAAGGCAGTAAGGGTGCGCAAACCGAAGGTCTGGGCTCTCAGAGCTGGTCCTCGGAGTCCCCGTTGCTCTCCCCAAAGCCAGCCCCCTAGCCGCACTGAGCGCTGGGAAAGTCCAGGCATTAACCGCGGTGGCTGCGAGGACCAAGGTAGTGAAGAATCGGAGCGCAGCCTCTCTCCGCGCCTGCCCTCCTGACCTCGAGGAGTCCGCACCCTCGGGGCTCAGATACGGTCGCTTGCCCCCTCGCCCCCTCACCCGCCGGACACTCACAGCTCGGTCAAGTTCTCGGCTCCAGGCAAGTGACGAAGTCTATCCAGGGCCCCAGCCCGGGTGCAGCGCAGACCCAAAGGGCCGTGGTGGCAGCAGACTTCGGGGCAGGGTGCGGCGCCCGCAGATGCCAGCATCAGCCAGGCCAGCAGGCGGCCCGGGGCCATAGCCCGGTAGTGCCCGTGGAGCAGCCCGCGCCGTCCGCCTCGCAGCATCACCGCGGCGCCCGCCTAGCCCGAGCCGGGCGGCCGTCTGTGGGCTCCTGCAGCGCCGCCGGGCCTCCCCAGACACGTGCGCTGGGCGGTGTTAAAGACCCAGTGGCCAGGAAAGGGCGGAGCCAGCGGCCCCTGCCCCGCCCCACCCAGCCCCTCGGGTTCCCACCCCTTCTCCAGCCCTCCTAAGCCCCTAACTCGGCCCCTACCCATTTGGGGGGCGGGGGATGGGGAGCGCACCAGCTTTTTCCCCCAAAATCTCCCAAGCTCCGGCATTCGCGAAGGGGAGACCACGGAACGCCTCAGAGGTGTCTCCGGGGTGGGAGAACTAGGAAGTTGATACATTATTTTGCCCCAGCCTAAAGTAGCTGCATTTAGTGGGGAGGGGGTGTGACTGAGCTTGGGAGAGATTGCCGTCCAGTCCTTGTAGCCAGTCTCCAGCCTCAGATCTCATTCCTCACGGCGCACGTGCTTGTGGGAGTGTGTAATGTCACTTGGGGTAAATTAAGTGAAATGCTCTCTAAACTTTAGGAAGAAAAGGTAAGGGGCCAAAAAAAGACCAAACGCAGGACCAAGAGGAGGAAAAATCAAGTCAGAGAAAAGATAAAGTGTCTCCCGAAAAGCGGGAGAAGGACCGAAATGCCAACTTCCAGCAGAGACCACAGGGTGGTGCAAGAAGCCCGCTTGCAAAGGTGTGAGCTCCGCCAGTGTTGGGTGGGTGGGGACGCAGCCTGTAGCGCCCGCGGAGCTGCGCCTCCGGACCCCAGCATCAGCCCTAGACCCAAGGGGATGGGGCCTGGACCCAGTCAGCATTGGCCACCCGGCCGGGTAGGTCCAAGTTGTGCGGGCATCGATCGCCTCCCTGACAAGAGCATTGATTTCTGCACGGAGAAATTAATAGATCTTCTCTTAGCTCCTTGGACACGGGAGCGGCCGGTGGGTGGAGTTGGGTACCGGTTATTCCTAGGAGGCCTCACACCCGAAAAGCCCCGGGATCTCCAGCACCTAGGGTGCCACAGGGCATGACTCAGCCCCTGACACCTCGTGGGCCTTCGTGGCTGCAAAAGCCCCTTCGTCTCAAGCAGGGAGAGGAGGAGGAGAAGGGGTCCTGGAGGACAAACTGGAGTCCGGGCGCAGACAAAGGCTCCAGGGAGAGAGCAGTGCATCGCGTGGCTCTCTTATCCGCCCCCCCCCCCCCCCCCCCCCCAGGGCCCCAGCACAAACAGCTGCAGCCCCTACTCCCCTACCCCCCACCCCCATTCCCTGAGACAGGGACAAACAGATAGACCAGGCCAACCCGGCAGCCTGAATTCAGGAAAGCAAGGACAGAGGCGGGGCCCCACAGGTGACTGCCCTCTCCACCAGCTTCTTAGTCACAACTGAGGGACTTGGCTGGGACGGAGCCTCGCACCCCAAAGCGAATGTTGTGACCTCCCGGGAGGCTGAGGGGCTAAGACAGACCAAGGGCTTAAATATTCAGAAAACTCAAAGCACGTTCCCGACAGGTCTCAACAAGCTCTCCCCGCCAGGTCTTGGCTGCCCGAAGTTACCCTGCAGGTGTCAATGCATCGTGGCAGAACCCAGGGAACACGGCTGGGCTGCTCGCGGCGTTCCTCGGGCTGTGCAGCCCGGCTAGAGGAAAGTCCGCAGGGCGGGGCCCAGGGAGCTCAGTTCTTGGCCTACTACCCACCCCTCTCACCCCCCGTATGTTGGCCTTATTTCCCCAACAGACCTGTCCCCTCTCAGTTGTCAGGCTAAATATTTTGGCTTGGCGGGAAGGGCGGAGAGAACCGAGAGGTCCCAGCAAACCAATCCGTTTGGACTGGGAGCGGGGAGGGCGGGGGCCCCAGTGTGCGCGGGAGACACGGCAGCCAGCGGGGCCAGCGGGCGCTGGGGAGCGTAAAGCGCCCCTGGAGATCCGGAAAGACTCTCCCGTGTGCCCCGGGACTCCCGCTACTCTCTCCGGGAAGCTCTCGGCTCTCTGGCACGGCAAGCTCTCCGGGTTTCTCTCGCCCGCGGGGCTGGCTGGCCTCTTGAACTCCTTTTCCTCTGCACCCTGTGTGACTTTCTCTCCCTGGGGCGTCTCTCTGTCTGCCTTCATCTCTGTCCTCATCTCTGTCTCTGGCTTCACGCTGAGTCTCCGTCTCTAGCTGCCTGTCACTGTGTCTGTGGCTGCTTGTCATTCCTTTGTTCTGTCGCCTGCGATATCTGTGTGGGACTCCTTGCGGCTTGGTCTCAGCCCTCCCCCTCCCCTCGGAAGCCTGAGTCTGTGTCCCTTAGGGCCCGTCCATCTGGAGAAGAGTAAGGACTGGGGCAATGGCAGTGCCCAGACTGTGGCCATGGGTGGCATGTCTGCTTGTGATCCTCCTGTCCTTGGGATTTGGCCTGGACACACTAGACGGTGAGTTCCTGGTGCTGTCTCCTGGAGCCCCATCTCCCTCCCAGCCAGCCGGAAGGCCACACAACTGAGTTTCCAGCCAGAACGCATCTATTTAGTTACTGCATTGCGAAGACAGGGGTCAGCTCACAGAAGGACTTCCCACCTAGAAGAGCAGTTCCCTCCCTACGTGAGGGTGTTTTCCTCTCAGTTCCCTGGGAGGTGAGAAGGACTGTGAAACTGAGAGATGAATGGATGCCTTCCATCCTGCTTTGTGAAACCTTGACCCCAGTGGAGCCTGAATGAGAACCAAAGTGAGGGAGGAGAGTCTTAGAAAGCACTTCCAGGGCATCTAAACGGGAAATGGGCAGGAAAGGCATGGGTAGCTGAGAACTAGGCACAGTTGTGTGACTGAACTCACTGTTCGGACCGGAAACCAAGGCTCGGGAAACTGAGAGGTAAAGCTAGACTGGGGTCCTGAGCTCCTGCCTGCAGGGCCCTGTCCATGATCCCCATTTCAGGGCCCATTCACTGGGGTGGGGGCTGATTTTTAAAAATTCCTCACCTGAGGATATGTTTATTGATTTTAGAGAGAGAGGGAGAGAGCAAGAGAGAAACATCAATCGGTTGCCTCCCATACATGCCCCAACCAACTGAACCCGCAACCCAGTATGTGCCCTGACCGGGAGTCGAACTCACACCCTTTTTGGTATACACAGATGACAGACACTCTAACCAACTGAGCCACTCGGCCAGGGTGGTGGGGGCAGATGTGGGGGTGGTTTTTTATTAGTGCCTCAGGCTAGACAATCCTCAAGTGTAGGGTTTGAGGGTGGGTGGGACCATATAGACTAAGTGGCCCTCATTGGGATGCTGAGGACTTTGCCAGAGAGGAAAAAAGCTGAGTGTGGAGGATTCAAAAGGGGAAGGATTAGGAGATGTTCCTTTCCCCAAACCTACCCTTCCCTTTTAGACTGACGGGCTCAGGAATCCAGTGCTTGGTGCCTACCCGAGGTCCTCAGACCGGGGGCTTCCTGGGGCGGGGCGGAGTCTTCCCTTCCTACAGAGACAAGAATGATGCAAATGGATTAGGGTAGGGGGTCCCCGAAGAGTGCTAGTACAGAGGCACTGCCTTCGAGGCATAGCCCCTTCCCTGCACCACTTCCCCACCTCCGCTGCTATGCCAGGACTGGGCACAGAAGATGCCAGCCAGAATCATGGTTGTCAGGACAGGAGCACATCCCCGAGGGGATGGAGGGGTTGGTGTTTGGTCAGGGGGCCCAGATGTCCCATTCCCAGTGCAGCTTTGCACAGGGTCATGTCCTAAGGGGAAGCAGGCAGGGGTTAATCTGTAAAAGTCGGAAATTTATTTTTCCAAATGGCTCCCATCAGGGGAGCCCTAGAGAGGCAGGAGGCATGATGGGAAGTGGCACTGGGCACCTGACAGAACCTCCCATCTTCTCCAAAGGCTTTGATTGGCCTTCACCTGGAGAGGCTAGAAGTGTTTTCTCATTCTCCTCTCTTTTGTGCGTATGTACCTGCATGTGCTCAGGCACACACACTCACACAGAGCTGCTGGCAGTCAGGCACAGGAACCATTAATGACAACAGGAAGTGTGAAGTAAGTTTCAGGGAGCCAGCCTTGCCCGCCCACCTCACTTTAAACCTTCAGGGGATGGGCCTGGGTATGTGACACTTGTGATGCCGTCAAGGGCTTAGGTAGGAAGGGAGAGAATAGAGGCTGGAGAGGTTAGCAGGACATGAATGGGAAGTGGAAGAGTTCAGATTTGAATTTTCCTGAATGGGGAGCCATGGAAAATATGCTTGGGAGCAAGTGAGTGCCAGGACCAGGCAGCCCACTTAGGGGACTGGTCTTAGGTGCCCTGGGGAGAGAAAGGGAAGTGGGGCTGATGCCCTGGAGAAGCCAAACAGATCAGGATCCCCAAAGAGTAAACTAAGGATCTAGATGTCCATTAATTCAACCCACGGTCCTTGAGTGCCCAGTGGCTCCAGCCATGAATAGGGTACCATGGGAACATGCAGAGCTGACTAACAAGGGCCCTGTTCTCAGAAGATTTCCTCCTTGGAGGGGGTGATAGAGATATGAACAGCAATGTTGAGTCAGTGCCCCACGTGTTCTGGTACGGGTGCTGGACTAAGTGCTGCTAAGCCTGAAGGGGAAGTGATCAACTCAGGGTCAGAGGGTCAGAGAAGGTTTCAGGGGCTTGATCTGAGCTTGTAGGGCCATAGCTGATGGTATTACAAAGGTGAGGAACTTTCTGAGGCTGTAGATATTAGTAGGGACCAGTTTATCAACACCTGAATATCAGGCTCAGGAATTTAAACTTGAACTTTTGGCAATCAGGAGCCATGTAATATCCCTTCGAAAGTAAACAAATGCAGAGACCAACTATCTAGGTCCCTTAGATCTGGGAGAGAAGTATAGTATATGAAGTTCAGACTTCTGATTCACAGTCACAGAATTCATTCATTCACTCATCAAATACTTATTAAGTGCCTATTTTGTGCCAGGCACTAGACTAGGCACCAAGGATACAACAAAGATTATTCAGAGATTCCTACCTTCTGGAGCTTAACGTAAACAAAATGAGTGAGTTATATACTAGCCAGTGTTAAGAATTATGGGGAAAAAATAAAGTAAGAAAGGGATAGGGATTATCACAATTTTAAATAGAATGGTCAGAAGTATCATTGAGGTGACATATGAGCAAAGACTTAAAGAGGGTAAAGAAGCCAGTTAGAGAGAGATGTTTCTAGCCTAAGGGAACAGAAGGTGCAAATACCCCCAACCTGGCTAGCTCATTTGAGGTCGATGTGGCTGAAGAAGAAAAAGAAAGGGGATGTTGGCAGAGAAGCAGCAGAGGCCTGATAGGCTGTGTTAATGACCTTGGCTTTTGGTCACTGAGATGGGGACCACTGGGATGTTTTGAGCAGTGGAGGAATGTGATCCAACTTGTGTTTTGAGAAGATCACTCTGGCCTAAAATAGAGTGGAGAATAGACTGAAGAGGGTACAGGGTGAAAGTGAAACAATCATTTGGGAGGCTATTACTGTGAATCCAGAAGATGAGAGTGAAATCAGTGAAGGTGGTGACCAGCGGCTGGATTCTGGATGTATTTTAAAGACAGAGCCCACAAGCTGTGAGCATGAGAGAAGGAAAAGAGTCAGGATGGCATTAGATCTGGAGTCTGACTGTGAAAATAAAGTGGCACCAATGGAAAAGGGGAAGTGGGTTTAGGGGGCTCAGCTGCTCATCTGGCAGAGCCCCCTCAAGCTGCCAGTGAGGCCTCTAAGGCTCCGAGAGAAGAGCACCCCATACGCACAGCAGGGCCTAGTTCCCAGTCCATGCCCCGCTCCCCATGCGGTCTCCCTCCTCCAAAGCTGCCGTAGTGGGATGAAGTGCTTGGCCCACACTGCACTGACGACTGCTGGCCGCTTGTGCCTACAGTGTGCCCCAGTCTGGATATCCGCTCAGAGGTGGCAGAGCTGCGGCGACTGGAGAACTGCAGTGTGGTGGAAGGCCACCTGCAGATCCTGCTCATGTTCACTGCCACCGGCGAGGACTTCCATGGCCTCAGCTTCCCACGCCTCACTCAAGTCACCGAGTACCTGCTGCTATTCCGTGTCTATGGTCTGGAGAGCCTGCGTGACCTCTTCCCAAACCTAGCAGTCATACGCGGTGCCCACCTCTTCCTGGGCTATGCGCTAGTCATCTTCGAGATGCCGCACCTGCGCGATGTGGGGCTGCCAGCCCTGGGGGCCGTGTTGCGTGGTGCCGTGCGTGTGGAGAAGAACCAGGAGCTCTGCCACCTCTCCACCATTGACTGGGGCCTGCTGCAGCCTTCACCTGGTGCCAACCACATTGTGGGCAACAAGTTGGGCGAGGAGTGTGCTGACGTGTGTCCTGGCGTGCTAGGCGCCACTGGCAAGCCCTGTGCCAGGACTACCTTCAGTGGGCACACAGACTACAGATGCTGGACCTCCAGCCACTGCCAAAGAGGTAAGCACTGGCACAGAACATAACTGGGGGGCACAGGGTCAGATGGGTGGCCACAGAATGGTGTGGGTCACTACTGTGCAGCCACTGTTGTTGTTTTAATTCTCAGTCATCTTATGAGGCAAGTACTATTTTTTTGCCTCATAAGGAAGATAAGGAAATTAAGGCTCAGGAAAGTCAAATAACTGATGTAGCATAAGGTAGTCAAGATATAGGCACAAGATGGTATCAGGTAGCAATGGAGAAAGTAAAGGACAGGTGCAAGGTTGGCAGGGGAGGAAGGGTAGGCATGAAAGGATACAAGGCAGCTGCGCAAGAAGTGGTACGGACCAGCAGTAACATACAAAGTCAGGTGGCCCAGGTTTGAATCTCAGCTCTACTACTTACTGGCTATGTTATTTTAGCCTCTCTGTGCCTCAGTTTCCTTATGTGTAAATAGGGAGCAGGGTTGTTATGAGGAATGAGCTATTCTGTAAAGCTTTAGAGCAGTGCTTAGGCTGCGAGAGCAGTTCTGTTCCTGATCAAAGTGACCACAGCACAGGTGACCCAAGGTAGGCTGGCAGTATTGTCATGGGAAGGTTGGGAGTTGGGTGGAAGAAGAGAAGTGGAGGTGACACGTAAAGGACAGGACAGGAAAGGACAAGTCTGTGAGGTGGGATCTGCTCTAGGAAGCAGGTGCATGAAGAGGAAACCAAAGGAAGGAGGAGTGGAGTACGAAGGGAATGGTGGGAGGAGAAGGAATGAAAAGTTCTAGGGCACGAAGACCTTCCAGAGTGTGGGAGCAGATCTGGGGTCCCCCAAACTAAGGCTCTTTCCACACAGCTCTTGGAGGTCAGCTCCCCTCACCCCTCAGCATCGGGGCAGAAGAGTAACCAGATCCCTACTGTATCCTCTCAGCCTCACCTCCCTGGTGCCTCCCTGTTGGCTGTAAACACAGCTGCCGCATGTCCTCTCTTGTGTATAGTGTCAACATGCCCTGGCTGACCCCCACCACATGCACGCTCCCACAGACACCCAGCTGCCACTGTGCACTGGTTCCCCAGCTCCAAACCCACCCACTATCGCTTAGGGCTGCCTCCTGCCCAAGCGATAGAGAGCTGAAGAGGAAGGAGTTATGGACAGGGGCATGGGTGAGATGACCAGTGGTGGCCCCTCCTTCCACACACTACCAGACCCGCCTTGCCCTAGACTTAGCTGCTCAGGAGAAGCTAGCTGCTTCACCCTGGCACCGTGCCCAGCAATGATCTGGGCACCAGGCCTAGACAGGACAGCAGGAGGGGAAGCAGCAGTCCTGATGGACAAGGTCACTGCTCTGTACTGAGTTCTGACACCCTTGACTGGACATTGTGGGAAGTTGGGAGCCCTCAAAAGGGGCCATGGCCCTTGTCCTCAAAAGCCCCTGTCTGAGGAAGAGTCAGCAGCCAGTGTTATCTGAATTGGGGGATTTGGGTTCAGACTAGTGTCACCACAGAAGGACTGGGTAGGGCCAGGACCCAGGAGGCCTGGACACAGCCTCACACAGCACTCTGCCCACAGTGTGCCCGTGTCCCCATGGCCTGGCCTGTACAGCTGGTGGGGACTGCTGCCACAGAGAATGCCTGGGGGGCTGCAGCCAACCAGATGATCCCCGAGCCTGTGTCGCCTGCCGCCACTTCTACTTCCAGGGCGCCTGCCACCAGGCCTGCCCTCCAGGCACCTACCAGCATGAGTCCTGGCGCTGTGTCACAGCTGAGCTCTGTGCCAGCCTGCACTCTGTGCCCAGCCATGCCTCTACCTTTGGTATCCACGAGGGCAGTTGCCTGGCCCAGTGCCCTCCAGGCTTCACCCGTAATGTCAGTAGGTGAGTGTAAGGCAGGTGGGGAGCACCCTTGAGTAGTGAGAAGGCCCACACTGGTCCAGGGCTCATGTCACACTCTCTGCTTGCCCCTACCAGCATATTCTGCCACAAGTGTGAGGGGCTGTGCCCCAAAAAGTGCAAAGTTGGCACCAAGACTATCGACTCCATCCAGGTGGCACAAGATCTGGTGGGCTGCACCCATGTGGAGGGGAGCCTCATCCTCAATCTTCGCCAGGGCTGTTAGTACCTTCCCTTGGGCCACCCCTCCTCCTGGCCATACCCTTCCTCCCTGTCATGCCCCTTCCAGTGGCCCAGCTAAAGCACCACTTCCTATTACCCTGGGTTCTAGCCTGAGGACCCCTTTCTGGGACCCCATTTAGGCTCCTGCCCTGTGGACCCACCACTCCTGCCCTTGCTCCATCCCTGTCTTCCAACCTCCCCAGACAACCTGGAGCAGGAGCTACAGCACAGCCTGGGGCTGGTAGAGACCATCACTGGCTTCCTCAAAATCAAGCACTCCTTTGCCCTCGTGTCCCTGAGCTTTTTCAAGAACCTCAAACTAATCCGGGGAGACTCCATGGTGGATGGGTAAGGGGTCAGAAACAGGCCTCTGACCAGCTCCCTCTATCACATCTTCTCCCCTAAACTCCCAAAATAGTGAAGAGCACGGGCACGGCTCTGGGTGGATTACTTAATCCTGTCCTCAATTTTCTCATCCGTTAAATGGGGTTAATATGAACACTGCTTATTTTTTAGAACTGTTATGATGGTTACTTAAGTTGTTAGGTATAAAGCTCTTAAAATGATGGCTGGAATGCAGCGTATAGTATATAATGTGTAGTTACATATAGCTCTCCACGGCTTGGCTGTAATTGTTATCTGATCCTCTCAGCCGCAGAAAAAGACTGCCTGGGTTTGAAACCCATTCCTACCACCTGCCAGTAAAGGCCTATCCTTAATGTAGTCAGGATTTTTCAAAATAAAGAGAATATTTTAAATTACCATCCAGCCAAGTGGTTTCTCATGTTTCCTGACATGTTGCCATGTACCCCCAGCGTTGCCCACACTCCAGCTACAGAGGCATAGCCCCCACTGAGTACCACTCCTTAGCCTGGTGCAGAGCAGGTGCTCAGTCAGTGGAACATTAGGGAAGGAGGGAGACAGAGAAACTATGGACCCCATTTCGAAGATGAGGAAAAGAGTGTGGGTGACTCCCGGCCAGTGACACAGAGTGGGTGTGTATGAATACCTCCTTCTGAGAGTGGGTGGCTGAGCACCCCGCTTCCCCTATGCCCCCAGCACAGCCTTTCCAAGAGGAGCCCATAAGGCACTTCCTCCCCTCCTGCCCCCATCCCCTGTTGGAAACCAGGTCTCCTCCGGCAGGAACTACACTCTGTACGTGCTGGACAACCAAAACCTACAGCAGCTGGGGTCCTGGGTGGCTGTGGGGCTCAGCATTCCTGTGGGCAAGATCTACTTCGCCTTCAACCCACGCCTCTGCTTGGAACACATTTACCACTTGGAGCAGGTGACCGGCACGCGAGGACGGCAAAATAAGGCGGAAATCAACCCCCGCACCAACGGAGACCGCGCCGCCTGTGAGGCCCCAACCCCAGCCCTGCGTGGAGGAGCACACAACCCCGAGAAAGACACGGACACGCAGCCGGGTGGGAGGGGCCTCTTGGAGGGGACAGTGTGATAACTTCTCTTCAGAGACTGCGCTGGGGGTGGAATGCTGCGGGGTCAAAGTCGGGCTTGGAAGTAGGTGGCTCCACCAGGTGCCCAGCACGGTTGAGAGTAGGTGCTCACCCCTCACCCCGCCCAGGTCAGACTCGCACCCTGCGCTTCGTGTCCAACGTGACGGAGGCCAACCGCATCTTACTGCGCTGGGAGCGCTACGAGCCGCTGGAGGCTCGAGACCTGCTCAGTTTCATTGTGTACTACAAGGAGTCGTGAGTACCCCTTCAGAGCCAGAGCCCGGCTGGGCCCAAACTGGGGCGGGGCAGGCCGGGCGCGGGGTAGCCACGACCCAAGGCAAGTACCTGCAGACCAGGGCGGGGCTTTGGACAGTCAGAAAACCAGGATCCCCAAGTCGCACTCCCTGGCGGGCCCACGTCTAGCTCTCACCTCTCCCCTCCATTCCTCTGTGGCTCATTCTCATCCAGTGAAATGGAGAGGGCAGTCAGGACTTCTGCGAGCCTGGGAAAGGGGCTCGGCGGGAAAGGCTTGGATAATTAAACTTCAATTCACTAGGCTAATATCTGTACTGACCACAAGCTCCTGACCCAGCCACGTTCTGGGGAGGACCCACTAACTCGTTCAGTTTTATATGCGGCTCGACTAGTATTTCATTACAACCTGACGTAGGAAGGAAGCAGGGACAGCCAAAGACAAGCTGCTCTTTGATCTGGAGAGAGTGTACTGACCAAGGCAGTAACCATAGTGCTTGATCAGAGGAAGGACTTCTCCAAAAGCATGGCCAGGAATCAAAAATAGAAATCCTTAGAGGAGGGAGAGTGATTTGGACTGGAAGTCTGAGAGGGCGGGCTGTGCGGAGAAATCCCCCTCCTGTGGTAGAGAGAGGATGGGAGCCACCTGGCTCGGAAGCATTTCCTGTGAATTAAAATTGAGACGTCTTAGTTGCTCACTAGCACTTCCCTCCTAGCCTGGGAGGAAGGGAGGGAAGTCAGTGGTAACAGGCCTGCTCAAATGGCCAGGGTTCTGCTAGGCCCCAGTAGTAAGGAAAGGTCTCCAGCACTGGGAGCTGCAGAGTTTGTTAAATACAGTTTCTTGGGCTCCACCCCCACAGATTCTGATTCAGTTAGCCCTGGGTAAGGCCCGTGAATCTGCATTTCTAACAAGTTCCCAGGTGATACTAAACCTTCTGGTCCCTGAACCATGCTTTGAGGAGCACGAACATGGACTGCAATGTCAATGGCACCCCTGGCTTGTGCAGCTCACAGTCCGCACAACTGCCTACAGCTGCCTCTGGGCTCAAAGAGCAGAGTATCACAGAGGTCCTTCAGGAAGCTCCCTACCACCACTGCCTGCAGTGTGGGTGTGGTCACCCCCCCCCCAGAGACATATACTGTGGATCCTGCCTCAGGTCCAGCTCTTAGCAGACCCATTCAGTGAGTGTCATGCCACAAGGCACCTACCCCAAAGGGTGGGCCCACATCTGCTTCTGGATGCCCTTACGCATACTGGAAAAATGACAATGACATCTTGGGGTGATTCAGAGAGGAGGGGCTCCTCAAAACTTGGGGTGGGGTATTCAGCCCATTTCAGAATGCTACAGAGCACACAGGTCCAGATGCCTGTGGGACCCAGAGCTGGAACCTGCTAGATGTGGAGCTCCCCCTAAGCCGCAACCAGGAGCCAGGGGTGATCCTAGCACCCCTCAAGCCCTGGACACAGTATGCAGTGTTTGTGCGGGCCATCACACTGACCACTGCTGAGGAAAGCCCCCACCAAGGAGCACAGAGCCCCATCATCTACCTCCAAACCCTTCCTGCAGGTAGGCCTTTGGAGAGAGCAGGAGCTAGATGTCTGGGTCCAAGTGAGAATGGGGGAACCCAGACACCAGAAATAGAGATGCTGGGTCACTGAACACCTGACCCATAGAGGCTGGGGGTGGGGCAGATACTTAAATCCTAGAAAGACTAGGGAGCAGGCCCTGGCCAGGTAGCTCAGCTGAGTTGGTTAGAGCACTATCCCAATACACCAAGGCGTGGGTTCAATCCCTGGTAAGGGCACATAGAAGAATTGGCCAATGAATGCATAAATAAGTGAAATAACAAATAGATGACTGACTCTCTCTTTCCTCTCTTGCCCTACCTTCCTCTCTCTTTCTCAAATCAAAAAAGTGTGTGTGGGGGGTCATTCATCTATATCCTAGGGAGACTGTGGGTAGGAGAGTGCAGGGGGAATAACTGAGGCAAATCAAGGGCCTTTGGAAGACAAGGGAAGGGCAAAATGCTCAGTTCCAGGAAGAGGAGATTGAGAGAGAGTCACTTATTGCTTGGGACAAGTGGGGCTGGACTCAGAGAGGGGCTTATGACCAGACAGTATTTGAAAAGGGATCCGCAGCTTCTCCATTGTACCCTACTCACACCCCCAGCGCCCACCATTCCCCAGGATGTCATCTCCACGTCCAATTCCTCCTCCCACCTGCTGGTGCGCTGGAAGCCACCGACCCAACGCAACGGGAACATCACCTACTACCTAGTTCTGTGGCAGCGTCTGGCAGAGGACAACGACCTCTACCTCAATGACTACTGCCACCGTGGTGCGCAAGGGATGAGACTTGGGCAGGAGGGGTTGGGGTACCAGGCCACGGGTGCTGACAGTCTAATTACTTCCCTCCCTGCTGATGCACCAGGCCTGCGGCTCCCCACCAGCAACAACGACCCACGCTTGGACCGCGAAGATGGGGAACTACAGGCGGAGATGGAGCCCGGCTGCTGCCCTTGCCAGCACCCACCTCAGGGGCAAGTCTTGCCACCGCTGGAGGCGCAAGAGGCCTCGTTCCAAAAGAAGTTTGAAAACTTTCTACACAACGCGATCACTATTCCCAAGTCCGTGGCGGCCGGGGTGGGAGGACCTAATGGGCGGGGCCTGTAAGGGGCGTGTCTGGCTGAGAGGGTAGTTTGTTGGCGGGGCCTGGTTGTGGGTGGGTTTGAAGGCGGGGCGCCGCTGCCGGGGCGGGGCAGTTCTGGGCAGGCCTGACGGGGCCCTCCCTGGTCTCCTCAGATCCCCTTGGAAGGTGACGTCTATCAATAAGAGCCCTCAAAGGTGAGTGGGGGCGGGGCCCAGGCTGAGGGGTGTGGCTGGGGTGGGAGGGCTTGGCTCTCACCGGAACCCTCTCCAGGGATTCTGGGAGGCACAGTCGAGCCGCAGCGACCCTCCGACTCGTGGGAAACAACTCAGATTTCGAGATCCAGGAGGACAAAGTACCCCGAGAGCGAGCGGTGTTGAGTGGCCTGCGCCACTTTACGGAATACCGAATCGACATCCATGCCTGCAACCACGCGGCGCACACAGTGGGTTGCAGCGCTGCCACTTTCGTCTTTGCGCGCACCATGCCCCACAGTAAGTAACCCACCCCACGTTCTACGCCCACCACCGACCCCAAGCACTCTATCCAATTAGTGCTCTAACTAGAGGGTCTGATCTACACCTAACCCCAGGGCGTCGCTTTCCTCGCTCCCCCCGGTTCCCATAATCCTAGAGCGTCTTCAAACCGTCCTGTTTAGCTCCCTTGGGTTTGATTTGACGGCGAGAGGAAATACAGTCATTCACTGATTAACAATGGGCATTTGTTCTGAGACGCGTATGGTTAGGCCACTCCACTGTTGTGTGAACATCGTAGAATGCACTCACACAAGTCTACATCGTGTAGCCTACCACACATGTAAGCTATATGGCATAGAGCCCATCGTTCCTGTGCTACAAACCTGTACAGCCTCACTGAACAAACAATGCGAAATTAAACACAGTTAACACTCGAGATGCATGAGGCTGCTGCCATAACACCACATACTATTTCACAGCAAACTTTTTTTTATAAATAGAAAGAGTACACTCTAAAATAACTACAGAAAGTATATTAAAGTAAATATATGCACCAGTGACAGTGCTTATTATTATCAAGATTGGGTAGTGTACATAATTGTGTGTGCTATACTTTTTTTAAAATATTTATTTATTTATTTTTAAAGAGGGGGCAAGGGAGAGAGAATGAGAGGGAGAGAAACATCAATGTGTGGTTGCCTCTCACTCACCTGCTACTGGGGACCTGACCTGCAACCCAGGCATGTGCCCTGACTGGGAATCAAACCAGTGAGCCTTTGGTTCACAGGCCGGCACTCAGTTCACTGAGCCACACCATCCAGGGCTGTGCTGTACTTTTTATACACAGGCAACACAGTAGCTTTGTTTATACCAACATCCCCACAAACATGTGAGTAATGCATTGTGCTATGATGTTAGGACAGGTATGAAGCCACTAGGCGATAGGAATTTTCCAGCTCTGTTATAATCCTATGGGACCACCATCATATATGCACTCCATTACTGACAGAAACATCACTATGTGGCCCATGACTGTACTTGTTGCCGGGCTGTCTGATGCCCTCTCCCACAGGAGAAGCTGATAGTATCCCAGGGAAGGTGGCCTGGGAGGCAGCTAGCAAGAGCAGTGTCCTCCTGCACTGGCTTGAGCCATCTGACCCCAATGGACTTATCCTCAAGTATGAAATCAAGTACCGCCGCTTGGGAGAGGTAGGTACTCCAGAAGACCCCCTAGCTCGGCCCCAATTTATGCCTCTATCCTTTTCCCAGCCACCTGCTTTGTGTCGTCCTCAGGAGGCCACAGTGCTGTGTGTGTCTCGCCTGCGATATGCCAAGTTTGGGGGCGTCCACCTGGCCCTGCTGCCCCCCGGAAACTACTCTGCCAGAGTGCGGGCAACCTCGCTGGCTGGAAATGGCTCTTGGACAGAAAGTGTCACTTTTTACATCCCTGGCTCAGGTATACACAGCCTCTCTCCCAGACCTACCCAGGTCCCCAGCCACATCTCCCATTGTGAAAACCACAGACCCCTCCATCCCACCCTTGCCCCACCCTAGTCTTCCATTTGGAAAGAGAAGTGTCCTCTACCCTCTCACTTCTCCATCTTTGACCCTCCCCTTGCTGCCCTCTGTTCCTGTCCTCTGACTGACCAGCAGAGGAGGAAGACTCCGGGGGGCTGCGCATCCTCCTCACCGTCACCCCTGTGGGGCTCATGCTGCTCGTCATTCTCGCTGCCCTTGGTTTCTTCTGCAGCAGGAAGAGGTGAGGACAGGTCTCACTGGTTCCCAGCTCCCTCTCTCCCTGAGTGCTTAGCATAAAGTCAGTGCAATCAGAAGGTGGTAGATGAGATGGCAGAAAGGACTTCCTTAGCAGTAATTCACCCCTGAGGCTGGCATGGAGGAAGATACACCTTCCAGTTAGAGTGACCAGCTCATCCTAGTTTGCCTGGCACTTCCTGGTTTTAGCAATGAAAGTCTGTCCCACATCCTGGGGAACCCCTCTGTCTGGGTCAACACACTCAGACTGAGGACTGATGAAGCTGGCCCTATCATAGCAGAGAGAGAGGCAGGAGACCTCAGGATCTCAGATATCCCCTGAGGTTGAATACAAGAGGGACACTGGGGCGGGACTTTGATTAGCTGGGTTCTAAGGACGAGCTGAGGGGTAAGAGCCCCTCTAGTCCTTTTCTCTCTATTCACAGCCTGTCAAATCCCAGGTCCCAGGACTAAGACCAGGACCAGCCTGGAGAGTGCTCAGGGCTCCCCAAGGGTCATGCTGATCAGGGCCAGGGCTGTTTAACTGCCCACCTCCTTGCATTGTCCCTCTTCCTTTTCCTCTGGTGTTGCTGCTTCCTGCTTGAGGACACTTCCAGCCTGACCCTCTCACCTCTCATTGCAGAAACAACACTCTCTATGCCTCTGTGAATCCGGAGTACTTCAGTGCCTCTGATAGTAGGTCTGGGTGTGGGTAGACAGGTGGTGTGGAAAAGAGACAGGAGGGAAGGAGAGGTAAATTGCAGGACACCTTTTTGGAGCAGGCAGCCTTCGAACCTGAGCCAATCAGAGGAGGAGAGAAGTGGGTGGAGGAGTGGCAGACAGTGGTATCCTTGCCTTGTGACCCCCACCTCCTCTCAGTGTATATCCCTGACGAGTGGGAGGTTCCTCGGGAGCAGATCTCCATAATTCGGGAACTGGGCCAGGGCTCCTTCGGGATGGTATATGAAGGGCTGGCACATGGACTTGAGGCCGGAGAGGAGACCACGCCTGTGGCCCTGAAGACAGTGAATGAACTGGCTAGCCCACAAGAACGCATTGAGTTCCTCAAGGAAGCCTCTGTCATGAAGGCATTCAAGTGTCACCATGTGGTAAGGGACGGTCAATGGCATTGTCAAAATCATAATTAGGTAAGAGGAGTAGGGTCAGGGATGAGGTCAGGCCTCTAGGTAGGGTAAAGGTTATGGTTGGGGTTTGAGTCAAACCAGGGTCATGGTAGGGCCATAGTAGAATCATGGCTAGGGCTGAGATCAGTCATGGTTGGGGGTTAACATTGAGTATCTAGATCATTATTGGATTGTGATTGGGATCAAGGTCAGAGTTGGACCAATCATAAAGACTAGGATGATGATCAGCTATGATTAAGGTCATAGGTTAGGGTCAGGGTCATTGTTAGGTCAGGATTAGTTAATGCTGATGGTTTGTGTTAGGGACAGGGTTGGTGTCTGGGTCGGAGTGTGGTCACAGCAGATCAAGACTTTGGCCAGGTGGATCAAGGAGAATGAGGTGGACCTGCAACTAGGCTCTTTGTCCATCCCAGGTACGTCTCCTGGGTGTGGTTTCTCAGGGCCAGCCAACTCTGGTCATCATGGAGTTAATGACCCGTGGGGACCTCAAGAGCCATCTTCGATCTTTGCGGCCAGAGGCGGAGGTGAGGACCAGGAAGATTCTGAGCCAATGGGCTGGGGAGTCAGAGAAGGCTTGGGCATAACTGTGGGGTCAGTCCTTGGTAAGGAGTCCTGCCCCTAGGTTCCTTCATCACCAGCCCCCTCTCTTGGCTCTAGAACAACCCTGGGCTCCCAAGGCCAGGACTGGGAGATATGATCCAGATGGCTGGTGAGATCGCAGATGGCATGGCCTACCTTGCTGCCAACAAGTTTGTGCATCGAGACCTGGCAGCCCGAAACTGCATGGTGTCCCAGGACTTCACCGTCAAGATTGGGGGTACAGAGGGTGCCAGGCAGGTGGGGGCAACCTGAAGAACAGAGCGATCTCCCCAAAGCTAGGCATCCAGGGACCTAGGTGTGGCCCATAGCTCTCCCTGATAGCCCCCGACCCCGAATTTCAGTCTCCCTGTCTGAGTACAGAGAGGTTTGAATGGGAAAGTCTCTGATGTACTTAGAGCCCTCACATTCCAGGATTCTTGGAGATTCTGGAGGTGGAGAAGTTTGGGAGAGGTATTCCTGGGGCAGAAGCTGGTGTAAGCTCCGCTGCCCCACACCTTGCTCACCTTACTTTCCAGACTTTGGGATGACTCGAGACGTGTATGAGACAGACTATTACCGCAAAGGAGGGAAGGGGCTGCTGCCTGTGCGCTGGATGGCCCCCGAGTCCCTCAAAGATGGAATCTTTACCACCCACTCGGATGTCTGGTGAGGCTTGGCTGGAGCAAAGGGCTCAGGGGATGTGGAGGTGGGGTCTGGGGTGACACCCTCCCATATGAAGGGTGCTGGGCTCAGGCCCTCCTACATGTCCTCCAGGTCCTTTGGCGTGGTGCTCTGGGAGATCGTGACCCTGGCTGAACAACCCTACCAGGGTCTATCCAATGAGCAGGTGCTCAAGTTTGTCATGGATGGTGGGGTCCTGGAGGAGCTAGAGAGCTGTCCCCTTCAGCTGTGAGTCATCGCAGCCTGCCCCTTCCACATCCCTACCCTGCCTACACCTATCCCCTGCTAGGAATCTGGTTCACCACCTCTGACACTTTTATTTCCACTGATCCCAGCTCTGACCCCAATTCTAAATCCCCACTACAATGCCCATGTACTCCCCTTTGTCTTCCTGCTTATACTGACTGATGCTCTGAGTACAAGTTGCAGGGGGTGTGGATTCCTCTGACCCTGTCCTTCTACCCCACCAGTCAGGAGCTGATGAGCCGCTGTTGGCAGCAGAACCCGCGCTTGCGACCAACCTTCACCCACATCCTGGACAGCATATGGGAGGAGCTTCGGCCTTCCTTCCGCCTCCTTTCCTTCTATTACAGCCCGGAGTGCCAGGGGACCCAGGCTTCCCTCCTGCCCATTGATGCAGAGCCCAACACCCCACGAACCCCAAAAGGGACTTCCTCAGACTGCAGCCCCCAAAATGGGGGTCCAGGGCACTGAAGGGCACCCCATTCCCTCGCTGATTGGCCTCCTAGGGGCAGAGAAGAAGGGACCTTTGCAGCTGTGAGATGTGCAGATTTTCATACCCCTTAAGCATGGAGTGGCCATGAGTGAGGCAGAGAGCAGGGGCAGGGAAGATTGGGGGGCAGAGCAGACTCACTATAAGATTTTCTCAGGAGCCTCAGTTCTCCCTAAGAAAGTAAAGAAGATCCCAGCAGGAGTGGTGGTTAGGCCATGGACTGGATGTTCTGGCCCTCGAAGAGCCCCTACTCAGACTAAGAATAGAGGGCCTATGTACTCCAGAGGTATTGTCTGCTGAACTCCCCTCCTCAGCACCCAGGTGTCTTGTGGACCCCTGGGGCCATCAACACACTTGAAACCAGATAAGCAACCAGAACAGAACTGGAACCTTCTCTGTCCATGTTTGGGCTGCTGTGAATGGGTGTCCATGTGACTGTCCTCACCACTGCATGTCACCTCCTACCTTCTGCCTCAGACACCAGGTGGAGTGGGAGCACCCAGGCCCTCAGTGAGCATGTTACCAGCCTGGCCCTGTAGGCTTGCCCTCACTTCCTCCTCTCCTTTGCTGTCCCAGGGATTTCCAAGTTTAGTGCTCCTCCCTCTTCCCCTAGAGTATCTCTTGGAGTGAATCACCTCACTCCTCCCAGTCTCATACCCTCAATCTCCCTCATACCCTTGGATTATTAAGGCTTTAAAAGGCTGGTTTTACTCTGGCTGGTGTGGCTTAGTGGACTGAGCATCAACCTGTGAACCAAAAGGTTACCAGTTTGATTCCCAGTCAGGGCACATGCATGGGTTAGAGGCCAGGCACCCAGTTGGGGGCACGTGAGAGGCAACAGGTGATCAATGTGTCTCCTCCCTTCTCCTCTCTCTAAAAATAAATAAATGAAATTTTTAAAGTCTTACTTCCTCCCTGTCCTCACTCCTGCCTCCTCCTCTACCCTCTCAGGGGAAGCCACAATAAATGCCAATGTCTATTTGTACCCTGGTCCCCAGCAGCCCATTATTTCTTCATCTCTATGAGATTAACACTAGATGAACTTCCTCTTTTCCTCCTTAGAGACTTGAGGCGGTGACCCTGAGGCAACCATACAGCATGAATACACTGCTGTCAAACTCCACCTCCTGAGGACCTGAGCTGCCAGGGTTGCCATGGCAGTGAAGCAGGACCATCCTGCTATTATCTGAGCTCAGACAGCCAGAAGTGGCTGAGCTCAGCAGGAACCCTGTATCTGGCCTCCCTGCCTCACCATCACATTCTGACCCTTCATCTTGAATTCAGCCCTTGCTGTTTGCATGTGCAGGCATGTCTTGTGGTATCCCCAGACAGACTTGAAGTGGGCAGAACACGGGGTTGGGGAAGGCCTTGAGAACATCACCAGTCCATGTTTGATGCCCCCCATCAAGGCAGGAGATGTATCAGAGCAGTGTCTCTGTGTCTGGCACTCCTCAGTTACTCCATCCTACCTCCCCCAGCAGAGGTGCCCTGGAGGCATGTTGAAGGATCACAGGGGAGTTCATTTCCCATTTGAAGGGCATTTGAAGGGAAAGAGCTGCAGAATAAAGACTTGAAATCTTGGTGGAAGGGGCTGGTTGTGGCTCAGGCTTTTTAGCATCCTGTACCAGCAATTTCTGTATGCAGATACTCAGGGCTATAGCTCCCACTGCCACAGGCTGCCACACACCTGGAGCCCGATATTTGCTCACTCCAGCAGCTGCCCTACAAACAAGATTTCTTAAGGCAGAGCCTGAGTGAAGTGGGCCTGAGACTGTGATAACAAATACAACTCATAAACACTACCCCAACAGGGTCAAGTTGGGCAAAAAGACTACCTGTCCAACCTCCACCCCCTAACCCGTGCCCTGCCAGACCCACCTGCCATTGGTGGCTGAAACAACAGTGTTCCCTAATGGTTGCTGGCAGGACCACAGCTTAAAGAAAAAAGAGTGGAGGAGGTTGCTCTCTCCTCCTTTGTGTTGGTGGTCTCAGGTGTCCAGCAGGGTGGAGGGAAGAAATACTCCACAAAAAGCCCCAGATCTGAGACCCACCCACCCACACAGAGCACACAGGCACCCCTGCACTTGCACAGACCCAGAGGGCAGCAGTGGGTTCAAGCCCTCTCCTCATCACCCATGCCCCTTTAACTTCTACTGTGCTGGGCAGCACTCTCAGGAAGTGCTGATCATCTAAATATAGAGACTTAAAGAAGGGATTGGGTATAGAATGAAACAGCATCAGAAGAACTCTGTTTTCTATCTCCAAAGCTGAGGAGGTAGTGGCTCTCCAAGAAGAATTTTTTGGAGAAGGATGTAGAGATGCTAAAAATGCAAATTCTATTGCCCCCCAAATCCTAGAGAATAAGTGGATTAAACAAGATAGCAAGAGAGGTTGAATTCAGAAGGGACTTCCCAACTATACACTGAAGTTTTGTGGAGGGAAGGAGTGTCTCCTCTTTCAGAGACAGCTGAAAACAGACAATAGGTTCATCTGGGGAAGGAGTGCTGCAACTTACCACAGAGGCCAAAAGGGAAACACAGTGATTAAGATCCTGGAAACATCCTTCATGATTTCCTCCTCTCTCCCAGATTCAGACAGAACTCTGGGAGGATAGGGATAACCCTCAGCTGGCTAGGAAGGGAACAGAATGGAGTGGAGGCAGATTAGCATAAAAGAACCCTTGGAACTGTCCATCCCTTGGAACTGTCCCTGTATCCTTGTGACAAGTCCTTCACCTGGGCAAGGGGAATCTGAAGGCTATGGGTCTCATGTCTTACCTCCTCCAAGTTCAAAACCAACTTATGCATATTTGTGCGTGTAGAGAGGTCAGTCAGGTGGGAGTCCTCCAGAGACACCTGGAACTCTCTGGGATAGATGAGGTCTGAGGTTAGAGGAGCCATGCCACTGAGCCAAGCCTCAGTGGAGGTGGATGAATTGAGGTGCTCAAAGTTCCTGTGCAGCTCAGCTCTGCTGACAAAGCAGAGGCTGCAGCCAAGGTGGTTCCTGGTTGTCACCATATGGGGAAGAAGAGCAGGGTAGGAGGGCACAAGAGGTCGGCATCCTGCTCTTAGATCAGCTCCACAACACTGTGCTCCTTCCAGATCTGGGGAGCTTGGATGTCAGGGCACCAGATCTTAGATGTCCAGCCAGGAGTGACCATGAGGTAGAAACTATGGAAGTTCCTCCTGGTCCATAAGTTGTTTGCCTTTGTCTACAGTCTTCTGTTGGTGGTTAGAACAAGGGAGATGTTAGTACCTGGCCATAGCCCACAGCAAAGTACTTCTTTCTTTCTGCTAGAGGTTCCTACACACAACCCCTTGGGACAATACTGCCTGACCCAGGAGCAAGAAGAGGAGTTTTTGTTTCCTCCCATCTCTCTGGGGCTGGAGGACCATATGCTGGCACCTCCTGCCCATCCTGTCTTTACTCAGGTGTCAGAGCCCTCTGAGCTTCTGGTTGTCTACAATGAATAGGAGCCTTCAGGTTCACCTGTCAAAAGGAGCCACTAGAGAGTGTACACTAGGGTGACCTCCCTGAGTGTCATCCATCCCTGAAGAAGATGGGGAAGTGACATTGAACATGTAACAGATTAGGAATCCAGATTGGTAAGATTAGGATTGAGTCAGAGTAAAGGGTACCAGGTGAGGTCCTAGTTGGGCAGAGGGGAGGGTACTTGGTGAGGTCAGGAGCTTGAGATCAACTCCTCAGCTACCCCAGTGCTGACTGAAGTCAGGCGCTCAAAGGGGCTATATGACTAAAAGTTTTGATGTCTTGCTATTGAAAGGAGGTTTTAAGGGCCGTGGACAGGCATTCAGAACAGGTGTGGTGAAGGGTGTGGTGAGCACAGGGCCTGGATATATAGATTACCCTAATTCAGGGTTATTTGCACTTCTCTAAAGCTAGGAGATATAGCCACCTGCACAGTATCTTGGCTGACTGAGCAGATATTCCAACCTTAGCTTAGATATGCCCTTCATTTGGTTCTTGGGAAGGCAGGACATCTGAAGAGTTTGGCCTCTTGGACAGTGCAGGCCAGGAGATCCTCTTACTCTCAGGATAAAGATGTTGACTAAAACCCTAGGACAAAAATAGGAGGGCTTCAGACATCCAGCCAAGATGGAGGCATAGGTAGATATGCGTTGCTTCCCCACACAACCAAAAGGACAATAACAAGTTTAAAAACAAAAAAACAACCAGAACTTCCAGAAAATAGAACTGTATGGAAGCCCAGCAACCAAGGAGTTAAATATGAAACATTCATCCAGACCATTAGGAGGGGCAGAGATGGGAATCCAGAGGAGAGGATGCACAGCAAGGTGGCAGCTGGCAGCCCCACATTTGCATGCAGATAAACCAGGAGGAACAACTGGGGAGTGAGACAGATCATGCAACTCAGGGTTCCAGCATGAGAAAATAAAGCCTCAAAACCTCTGGCTGTAAAAACATCTGGGAGTTGTGGCAGCAGGAGAAACTCCCAGTCTCATAGCAGAGTTCACTAGGAAGACCCACAGGGTCCTAGAACATACACAAAACCATCCACCTGGGAATCAGCACCAGAAGGGCCCAATTTTTGTGGGTAGCAGGGGAAGTGATTGAAGGCAGGGCAAGAGCTGAGCAAGCCTGCATGTTCCATCTCTGACCCTTCCACCACATACAGTGCCACATCACCCAAAGTGGGTTACCTTGCACTGAGGAATACCTAAGGCTCCACCCCTTACAACATAACAGGAGAGCTGAAGCAAAGAAATAAGTCTCAAATGAAAGAACAGATCAAAGCTCCAAAAATAGAACTAAGAGACTAGGAGATAGCCAACTTATCAGGTGCAGAGTCCAAAACACTGGTAACAGGATGCTCACAGAAAGGATTGAGTATGGACACAAAATAGAGGAAAAAGTGAAGGTGATACAAAGTGAAATAAAGAAAACATACACAGAATCAACAGTGATGGGAAAGAAACTGAGACTTAAATCAACAATATAGAACAAAAGGGAGAAATAAACATTCAACCGAAGAAATAACCATTCAAAAAAAGGACTTCCGGCCAAGATAGAGGCGTACATGGAAATACTGTACCTCCTTGCACAACCAAATTTAAGGAAAACAAAGATTTAAGAACAAAAAACACAACCAAAATAGACAGAAAATTGAACTGTATGGAAGTCTGACAACGAACCATTCATCCAGACTGGTAAGAGGGGCGGAGTTGGCAGCTGGCGGAGAGGGGTCTCGACAGAGAAAAGCGGTGGTTGGCAGACCCCAATGTGCAGGGGGTGCAGAGCTAGCAGACCCTGGGTGCAGGAGGGAAACGAGCAGACCCAGTGAGGCACGCAAAGTGGTTGGTTGACTGCAGACACACATTCACGTGCAGATAACCAAGGCAAAAACGGGCAGTGAGACAGACCACACAATCCAGGGCCCCAGCGCTGGGAAATAAAGCCTGAAAGCACCAGTTGAAAAAACTTTCAGGGGTTGAGGTGCCAGGAGAGGCTCCCAGCCTCACGGGAGAGTTTGTTGGGGAGACCCACAGGGTCCTAGAATGTACACAAGCCCACCCACCCAGGAACCAGCACCAGAAGGGCCCAATTTGCTTGTGAAAAGTGGCAGAGGGGACCAAAATCTGAGAGAGAACAAAACAAACACCATTGTTCCCTCTGATTCCGCCCCCACATACAGTGTCACAACCCAGCAACCTGGGTAGCCCTGCCCTGGCGAACACCTAGGCTCTGCCCCTCATACATAACAGGTGTGATCAGACCAAAAAAATATGGCTCAAACAGAAGAACAAATCAAAGCCCCAGAGCCAATACTTCTAAATGACAAAGAGATAGCAAACCTATCGGAAGCACAGTTCAAAACACTGGTGATAAGGATGCTCACAGAACTGGTTGATTTTGGTTGCAAATTAG